GGCTCGATCTGACTGACCGTGCATCGACAATCGGTGCTGACCTGGACACTACTCGGTCTGGGCTGCTCCCAGAGCCCACCAGGCCCAGCTCATCCTTTATTTACGAGCACACCTAGGATACACCGTAAAAAATATATTTTTTAAAAAAATGTAAAAAAAACAATTCCTTTCTACCCCTGTGTCAATGGAAGTGTGCAATAATTTCCAAAAGTTGGACACACCTTTCTGGGTCACTATGCCATGGTTGATGTTTGCCCTTGTCCTTGTCCGCAACGCAAGCAAACTGTTCCAAGAAAGAGGGATACCTTGCCCATATTTGCAAGCCATCCGGTCCCAATCCCAACAGTGAACACTGCAGGCACAAGCAACCGGCACCTGGAAAGAGCCAGCCTGAAAGAATTCTACAGGCAAGTAGTAGTGCTTACCGTGCAGAAAAGTTGCTGGGCCAAAATTTTCAAAAGGTTGCAAGGCTATGTGCTGCTACTAAACTCATGCCACCGCCCACCAGGGCTCTGGAGAGTTCCATGTCAAGGGTCATCAGCCAGCTGTTTTTTTTGTTTCCTAAGAGAATGTGTCGATCAATGATGATCATGACTTAATCATATGCTCATGCATATGCACTGTTCTTACCTTATCCCATTCCTAATCCCTATCCCAAGGGCACATGCTAGAGAGAGAGAGATGTAACCAGATGCAGATAGAGTTAACAAATCAAAGTAGTTAGTGTCCCCAAATCACACACCTTTTTTTTATCTCTCCATGCACGTACAACATCAAGATTCACATTCCATAGTTTTACTGCTGGCACTAACAGGCAGGCAGGCAAAGCCAACAGTAAATAAAAGTGGCAAGTACCATGTAAACTGTTTTTTTACTACTAAGCAGACAAATGGACCATCAGATTCCAAGTGAAAACAAAACACAAACACTCCTTTTTTTTCACCGCAGTCTGCACAAGCAGAAAGGTGATCTCAAGTGTGGCCACACCTTCTGTGCAAGTTTGTCTGGCTTTAACGCCAAGGCTTTGAACGCATGGAGGAACAGAGAGATGAAGAACTGCACAAGTGCAGACTTGAGACTGATCAAACCAACCACCCCTACATGGCTACACTACACAAGCCATGCATGCGTACTGTGACTGCTCAGTGACCTCACATGGGTTGGCTGAAAACTGTTGCAAGCTTGTCCCTCATGTGTCTCCCTGGTGCATGCTCACTTCAGTTTCCATGTTTTACTGCACAGGAGAACAGTAGCGAAATGCAGCAGTAATGGAGATTTCACTGGGGTGGCAACTGATGAGCAGAGTTGTGACTCTGCCTGAACCCTGAAAGAATACCTTATTCTTGTGGTGCAAAAATTTATTTCTCTCTTCATTTTCTCCTTCAGATGTTGTGTGTTGGTACAGGGCAGGTACCAGTACCACTACTGTTTCTCTTCCAAGTACAAGAGACCAACAAGGGCACTATCTGTAGTACTACTACTCTACTACTCTCTCATCAATGTGTGAAAGGATCCGCATCATGTCTCAATTGTTGGGATTGTTCTGAAAGGTGACAAGTTCACTAGTCAGCATGTCTTTTAAAACACTTAGATTGTGAACAGGAACCACTGTTATCCTAGATGAAATCGCAATAATGAAGATGAGCACATCTGCAAAGCATTAAAATAATGCATGTACGTTTGTGGTATCCAACGCAACTGGGATGACAGGATAGGGGTGGTTAGTCGTAGACAGTTTGGTCCATATCTTAATCACTTCAAATCTTGGCCTTATTAGGCACAGCGCCCCTGTTTCATATGGTTGGCAACCACTGACTTGCAAAACACAACCATTTTTTTTATTCAGAAGATGCAGACTAATCTTGTTACTTTAGGTGATCAGGACAATACAGCATGAATAAGAGAGCTACGCTTTTGGATCTTCCTCAAATTAAATTTGGCATAACCGTTGCAAATAAAAAAATATTGCTATCAAGCAACAAATCATGCTTTTGGTATGAATGGACTTGCTACCGGATGAAATGGTTTCTATCCAAGGTTCCACCTTACTTTTATCAGCATCCAAGTGTTCATGATAAAAGACCTGGGATTGCAGGGGAAGCTGGATTTGTGGTCACCTTACCCTTGGACTTCTAAGATTTGCTCTCTCTCTCTCTCTCTCTCTCTCTCTCTCTCTCTCTCTCTGGTCTTTTTCAGATGAAGACATTTCACATTTAGAGTCGTCTGATATTTTTCTTGAAAAAGGAGAAGTTTAAGGACGAAGGCTCTCTTCTCTTGACTTCCGTGCCATCCCCTTTGTCATGCAAAATGCAGTTTTGTATGACGCACTGCATTCATTATTAGTAGTTATCAAGTGACATAGGATGCTGCTGTTGTCGTGTTGCTAAGTTGGGTGCTAGCTAGAGTAATTTGGATGGATCTAATCTAACAGTAATATATTAAGCTTGTTCCTTGATTTATATCATTATATGCATGCACAGCCCAATTGGAATAATGGAAGATTTTAAGAGAACTTTAGATGGTTTGTAACCGTGCATGTGAGATTCTTTTAAAATGCGTACACATAGTTCCAAATGAAACATCTGTGGTCCAGTTCTGTCAGAGGGCCACGGTTGCATTTTTTTCGGGAGAGATTCGGAAGAGTTCTGCAACATGCAACGAGATTTTACAAGGATCATTTATACAAATTAAAAATAAAGCTTCTTCTACTCCTAGCATTCAATTGGCTAGTTCTTGTAAAGTTTACTGAAGTTCGGATCTCTTTGTAGCTTTTCAGTTCCGGAGTCAAATTCATGGACCATCTACCCCTATCACTCATTCATCACTGGAGTACACAAAGGTAGATACTTTATTATTTATCAATGAAAGCTTGTCCAGATTTTCTGTGTCAGCTTCACTACGCTACCTGTATGTGGAGCAATGTGTTCAGTTCATGACCGTAAGTTTCAACAGATTAAATGCTTTGGACCTTGCTAAAACTATCAGAGCAACAAAGTCAAGGATGATTATTTACTGAAACTGAGCTTAAGCAGAGATTTTCACACTTTAATCAGCCAAAGATGTCTTATTATGAACCAAAAATAAGGTATAAAAGTTATACCTTTTTTTAAAGAAAAAAAACTATAAGTTATACCTTCAACCTTGTCCAGAAAAACAGTTTCAGACTTAATACTACTAAAATTAACTATGTTATGTGGAGCAACAATATTTAAGTCCAGTTCATTGTAATTACTAGTTTGGAACAGATAAAATTGGGTCGGCCTCGCTAAACTATGCAACCAAAAATTCAAGCATGTTTACTAACTGAAACTGAAAGGAAGCAGAACATTCATATCATACTCTAAAGAACCAAACATTTATGGACTGCTAGTACCACATAAGATTCGTACCTTGAAAGACCAAGATACCGGCTAAAAGCCATAAAGTGGCAATGTGCAGCAGCATCATCATGAATAAAAGAACTGAGCCGCCTCAATTTCGAAGTTAACTAGTGCCAGTAAAATGTAAAGGGAGCTAATTTTGTTCATAATTCCAAGTGGCTTTGACAGGGCACAAAATCTTAATACCCAATGATGACTGGTCTCAATCTCAATACCGTATTATACTCTTTGACCGATATTCCAATATCCAACCATCTATTTTCCAGAAAAATAAAACAATCCAGACTCCAAATCAAGTGATCAACAGGCTCCAAGCACTGCAACAGTTGCAGAAATCCGTTTTCAGCTAAACCTTCTGCAAATCCGTTACACCGACGCTGCTGTCAACAACCAAAGCACAAACCAAGCAGACAACACAGCAAATGCAGCTCAAGAGAATTTGACAAAAGCTGCTGTGCTACTCACTGTCCACCACAGATGATCCGGCCCCCCTCCCCTCCCCTCCCCTCCCCACCATCTGCGCTGCGCTACTCCTTGGTTTTCTACGAGTGGTGGGGACTGCCGGCCCACGCCCCCGCCCTGGATCTTCTAAATCCATCCAGGCAACCTCCACCTCCACGCCACCTAACTGTTTTGCTAATACAGTTCTTGCCTGCAGTGGGGCAGCCATTGCCATGCACCGCTCACCTATTCTGACGCCATAGGGACGGTCGGTCACATGCTGTGATCCCAACTCCTTCCCATTGCTGATTTCCTTGTGCGATACTGCGAAGATCCCTTTCGAGGCTTTCCAGTGTGGTGCGCGTCACTTTTTCGCTATATACCTCTGCTTCTGCCATTGCTGGTGCTGTATGATTCTTCTTCATCTTCTCCGTTCACAGCTGTGAGCTGTTCGCTCCAAGCTTTGGACTTTAGTGATTGCTGCCACTCCCACGGCCCCAGCTTTCGGCGTCGAGATCCAAGAAGATCAGGAACAAAAGAAGTCTTGGGACGCAATCATTAGGAGCTGTCTGCATTGCACAGATTCTCCGCTTGGCTGTTGGCTCACTCCTTCAATTCTCCTCTTGCGTGTTGTCTCACTCCTTCAGCACTCCTCCTCGGCTCCTCCATAGCTGTTCCTGCTCTGGCATCTGTTCAAGTCCAAGAACAAAGCAGGGGATCGTTTCCACGAGGTACCAATGCAATTTCTCTTGTTCGTGCTTCTTCTGTTTCTGATGGAATCCTGTTCTAAACATTTTCTGAAATCCTTGTTTTTTTGCGGTCTATCAGAGGTTGTATTGAAAAGGGAGATTAAGGGATCCGAAGGCTTTTAGATGCAATAATCACAAGGTATTACAGAAGTTCGTTACTGTTCTTTCCAGCCGTGCAGAAGCGCAGGCTAATCATGGAAAGTGCAGGAATAGATTCCTTCTGCTCTGTCAATTCTTTTCTTGTCCTGATGAGTTGTTTCAGATTCCGTCCGTCACACGGCCACGCTGATAGCAGTTGCCTCTTCTTCCAGTTCCGTTGGGAGGGAAAAACAACCCCAACAGATGAAACTGTGCAGCAGGTAGGCTGAGAGGCTTCTTCTCTGACCAGCGATCAGCTTGTCCGGAGAAGAAGAGCTCTTGGTTCCACCCCATGGAGAAGGAAGCCATGGCGGGGCATGTGATGGTGCCATTGCAGAGCTTGAGCCTGGAGCTCCCGGATGCGGAAATTGTAGTGGGCTACAACAAGGACACCTCAGCTCTGCAAGGTTGAAAGAGCAGATTTCACCTATTGTTAATTGCCTGTTTAAGTGATGGTGACTTTGCATCGGTACCTGATGGAACTATCTCAATCCCCATGTTTGTTGCAGAGGAGATTTCGACTCTGCGATCAAGGCAGCGACATCTTGACAGGAGAAGACGGGAGGCGCTCGACAGGCTCATTGACCTGAAAGGTACAGTCTTCAATTCTAGATAGCAGTTGTTAGTGCTTGAATTTCCAACGATCTGAGCTTCAGAGATTGGGCAACATTCAGGAAGTATTAGGGTCTTCTGCCGGGTACGTCCGCTGGTCCATACGAACAACTTGAATGCCAAATCACCAGTTACTGTTGAACAAGAAAAGATTGCAGTCAGGTCAGTTGGAATCAAGAAAGAGTTCAGTGTTGATAGGGTTTTTGGTCAGGAGTCCACACAAGGTAATTTTTTTTGCTTACTCACTTGTTAGGTTTGTCTTTTTGGCAGTATGATTCATTTCAGTGTCGTCCATGCAGAGGATGTTTTTCAAGAAGTAAAACCGATCCTCAGATCTGCACTTGACGGGCACAATGTCTGCATTCTCGCTTATGGCCAGACTGGGACAGGAAAAACGTACACAATGGTTGGTTGGTGCTTGTTCTGAACAGATTTGAGCTCAATTTATAGTAAGTCTGTATTCCACTCAGCTTTCCGCAGTCGTTCTGATAAATGAAGGTATAACTGATTGCAGGAAGGAACTGACGGTAAGCTCGGTATTGTGCCTCGAGCTATCCAAGAACTGTTTTCTCATGCTTCAGAAGACAGTTCATCCACATACTCTTTCTCCATAAGCATGCTTGAGGTCTACTTGGGGAGTCTCAAGGACTTGTTGGCACCAAGGCAGCCTCTCTTCAGGTCAACAGAATGTAACACAGCATGGTAAGACTATTAGTTCACCTGCAATTTTTTTTAACGGGAAGTTCACAAGTAAATCATGAAGAAAGATCACCAATTCTCAATATGGAAATTTGTATGTCCATTTTCTTTGTATACTTCAGTAATCTCAGCATACTAGCAACAAAAAGTGGTGCTGTGGAAGTTGAGGGGCTGACAGATGTCTCAATACCGGACCTGAAGAAAGCCAACCAGTGGTACTGTAGAGGACGGCGAGCCCGATCAACATCTTGGACAAATGTCAATGATGTCTCGAGCCGGTCGCATTGGTGGGTTGACAATCTGTTCCCATTACCAACTTTCACTTGCGGCTGTTTTGCTAATTTGAGCAGTGCCCAATTTTATGTGCCTTAGCTCTGTCTATGTGTAGCTTGACAAGGATTACCATAAGGAGGCATGGAGCCACTGAAGAAGTCAGCAAGCTCTGGCTCATCGATCTTGGTGGCAGCGAGCGGTTGCTGAAGACTGGTGCATCTGGGTTGACAATGGATGAGGGCAAGGCCATAAACCTCTCCCTATCAGCACTTGGAGATGTCATTGCTGCACTTAGGAGAAAGAGGAGTCATGTTCCTTACAGGTAACAGCTGATTATTCAGTTATCTTAATTACCAAATAAATAAATTTCTAATGGTTTGCTAGGGGTAAAAACCTCCAACATTTCAATCACATTGGAGCTATTCATCAGTGCTGTCATCTATATTCATATCTTTTTTAAACATGTGCAGAAACAGCAAGCTTACCCAGATTCTCAGTGACTCGCTTGGTATGCAACATCTTTTACATTGATTTGAAGTTTGTTCAAAAAGAAAACATAACCACTGGAAACAAGATAATCTAACATTTAACTGTTGAATATCTAAATAACAGGTGACGGTTCGAAAGTTCTAATGGTGGTGCACATCAGCCTTTCTGAGGACCATGTTGGTGAGACGGTCTGTTCCCTGAACTTTGCGAAACGAGCCAGATCAATTGAATCAAATAGAGAAATTCCAGAAGTAAGTATACAAATGGAACGATCAATTGTTACCACCACGGCAGAAGTTTCATTATATTTAAAGGTTCTCCTTTCTGATGTAGGATCTGAAAATGTTGAAGCAGAAGCGGCTCACAGAGCTTGACAAGGAAATCTGCAATGCTGAGGAAGAGTTGAAGTATCTCAATGAACAAATAAGGAGAGCAGAGATCTCACTTGAAGAGAAGAAGAAGCTCAGTTCATCTATTTGTCAGGCTCTTAGTGATGAGAAGGGGTCACCAAGAAGCACTCTAGTGGTAGGCCACATTGATGTCACAGAGAGCCCACACGCAACAGAGCAGGCAAAGAGCAGGCTATCTCATGGTTCAGCTCCTCACTTCATGTCTTCGACGGTGTGCAGCCGGCAAAGACATAGTGCGGGAAGCCATTTTGTTAGTAAGCCAAGGCTGACAAAGTCAGTAAACAGATATCCAGCTGAGCTGAGCGGGAGCCAGTCATTCAGCTACTCAAGCTGCAAGAATGCAGCCAAGGCTAGGTCAGTGGCATTCTCATCCAGTGTGCCCAAGATGAAGTGCTTGCCAGTCAAGTCTGATCAGATCAACATAAGTAACAACAGCATCGACTCGACAGCTGCATCAGCACCACGGCGGAGGGAAAGCTTTGGCTCCAGACCGGTTCAAAGAGCACCCCTACATCAGCACAGGAGAAGGATGTCTAGCCTAACATAGCCTTACATAAATACCGATTGGGCGGTTCTGATTTTAACTTGTTTTAGTGGTGAAAGGATTCTGAAAGCTGTTTGTGGTTTTTGTGGGTGCTTGTTGGTATGTTTGTTAACTTCATAGTTCTTGACTGCTGTAACTATTGGAGGCCCTTCGTCTTTTGTTTTTGGTTTGACATGGAAGGGCAAAATGATGTGAGGAATATGGTAAATGGAAATGGAAATGGAATTGTAATTGGACTTACTAATGCTTCTGGTTGCAATGAATTTGGAATTTTTGAAGAAGAATATCCTAATGTATCATAAATATAGCATTCTGGAATGACTTCTGTGATTCTTCATCTACAGAAAGTACATAACATTTTGGACACCACAGTTCAGACTACAGAGGTTCTAGTGGATAAAATTAGAAGTAACAAAGGACAGTTAGTAATCCATTGTACTGTGGGATGAAAAAACACCTGTCTCATTATTGTAAAATAGGCAATGCAACTACATTCTAGCAATCTAGCTTCATATGCTGTTTTGACATGTTTGTTGCTACAAAGATCCGGAACTAATCTTCCCCAGAAATACTCTGCCAAATGTTTTCGTTCAGAAGAAAAACTCTGCCAAATGGAAAAGGCAAACCAACAAATTATTAAGAAGATGACCATTCAGAACAAATGAATAACCTTGATGCATGATCCAAACCTAGGTGCCTATTTCACAAGTAATTGTCATCCACATAGACGATCAACGACTGTGCTTGTTCAGAAAAAAGGCATTCAATGCAGCTACACCTTGTCCGTGTGAATTGGAGCATAAGGACAGCGAATTGTCCCTACTTGCTTAGAGATACATTAAATTACCCACATGTCGGCAGGACAAGTATTGTTCAGCGCCATAGAGACAAAAGAAGGTGTATGTCCTAGGATCCAGAATGTTACCTGGAAACTCAGTTTGCGCCTGCTTTAATCTGCTCGGGCTTGTGAAATTACCAACTCTTCAGTAAAAGATCCATTTAATCATGATCCACCATCCCACCCTCTTGCATTCGCAGTCCTGAATTAGAAGACGAAACAAAGCTGCCAACATACCTTGGTAATGGTCTGACTTCCCTGCTTCTGTAAATTGCAACTCCATCCATGGAACTGCAGCTAGGAAACCAAGCAATCAGTAAAAGAGTACTCTTTTTCTTCAAAAAAAAAAGGAGTGCTATACTGAAATGTACATTGTTTTCTATGAAACGGGCTGCAGTGGCAAGGCAAAAGAAAAGAAATGAGGGTGAAGTCAAGTTCCAATGTGGTATCTCACTGAAAAATATTCTAATGCTCAGGGATGGATTATAGTGGAAGTCACACAGGAATCTTTTTATTTGTCGCATGAACAAACCATCCGTGACCCACACCAATTCTAGTCTTTATCTCTCGACAATTGTCAATTCTGAATTTCTGATGACTTTGAGTAACAACTTGAAGATATGGGAGTGAAAGTTGAGGCATAAATCCCAAATTTCATTTTCTGCTATAACATTCTGAATATTCAGAAACTAAGCAGAACAGAATGGTGCGAACATAATTATTTGCACTTGATTACAAGTATCAGTGTAAACTATCCTGAAATGACGGAGGGGCGACTCGGCGATCTCCTGGCGATGGCAGCGGCTAAAACTTGGGTTTGAGTTGGAGCGGCGATCGGGCGCATGGAAGGACAGAGATTGATGATGCGAGGGCTTGTCCACCTCGGCGTCGTTTTGGCTGGCTTTGCTGGTCGCTTTGGGTCACGGCAGAACCACCATGAGGTTCTGACGGGGACTTCCCTTCCTGGCAACATGTTTGCTAGGGACTCTCCTATTTCTGAAGGGAGGCCGGGGTCTTGCCGGACTCTCCCACTGGCTGAGAATCTGTTGGCGTACGGCGGTATGAGGCCCAATCGGGTCTGACTCAGGGTTTTCGTGGTGCCTTCAAGACTGTGGTAAACCCTAACCCTCAACATATAAATCTGTGGTGCGGCTCCCTGGTCTGCTACCTTGTGCCGCTGTCTCACAATCTTCGAGGTGGGGGTGAAAAGGGATCTCCGGTGAGGAGGTTGCCCACCCGAAGCCTTGGTTTTGTGATCGGCTTACTTGTGTGGTGGACTGTGGCGGTGCTTGCAGGCACGGTAAGAGCTTATGGCGGCGGACGGGCAAAAGGAGTCTCTGGAGAAGGTTCACAAGATTGATGGCAGAGGAGAAGCATCGGCGACAGCGGCTCTGATCACAGCCCACATGCAAGGAGCAGCGGCTGGGGATCACCATGTGGGCACCGGTCTGCTACCCCTGATGCCGAGCGTGGAGAAGGAGATTGTCACCGACACACCAAATGCCGTTCCTCAAGACGCCGGCGAGACTGAAGAGGAGGTGGCGGGCTCTGAACCTGAAAAAGAGGCAGGAGCGCCAACCGAAGAAACTGAAGAGGAGGTGGCGGGCTCTGAACCGGAAAAAGAGGCGGGAGCGCCAGGAAGACAAAGGAAGGAAAACGCATCAGGAAGACCAATCCGCGCGTATCTGGGCCGGACTGGATGTAAGCCCATGTAATGGGTTTAGGAGGCCCAAGCTTACCAGTTGGCTCCTATGTAATTCTGGAGGAAGCAAAAACGAGATTGAACTCGAACTGGAGAACGAAACCGAACCGAAAGGTGCCGGTGGCGAGCGCCGGCGACTCGAGAGACGAGTTTCCCGGTATCTGAGTGAGTTATCCTAGTAGATTACAGTGACAACCTGGTATCAGAACCCCCCATTCTATCGCCACCCAACCACCACCACTACCACCTCACCCCGCAGCAGACCGCCATGTCGCCGGAGGAGCAATTTGGGCATATCCTCGCCCTGCTGAGCGAGAACTCCAAGGGGATCACCGAATTGAAGCTGTCGATGTCGGAGATGAAGGCTGCCAAGGAGGATCTCGACGCCTGGAAGCCAGAGGTCGACCACCGCGTTGTTGATCTGGAGCAAGCTGTGAACCACCTCAATGAACGCGTGGAGAAGCTCTACCACCACTCCGTCAACTCCGCCAAGTCACTGACCCTGGGAGAAGGCAAGGTGGAGCATCCTAAGCCGGATCCATCGAAGGCCAGAAAATCGAAGGTGTTGGGTTCCGCCCACCTAGGACCAACCCCATCCAGGGCGACATCAGGGCTGTTAGGCCACCGCAACGAACATCATCACCGGAGCGCTGGATTCGAGGTGGTTTACACCACCCTGACTCTGCCTTCGGTCATAGGCGCGATGAATCAAACTAAACCTCCCCCAATTCCAATTGGTTTTGATGATTCTGCCTACCGTGATCGGCGTGTTGGCTCTCACATTAATTCCGCCATGCCTAACATAATTTTTCCCCAATTTGATGGCTCTAACCCTAGCCTCTGGATCAAACGCTGTGAAACCTTCTTCGAAGTTTATGAAGTAGATTCCTACCTATCACTAAAAGAGATATGACCTTCTATGACATTGTACTTACGTCGTAGAAACCAAAAATTATGTCGTGTTTCACAATTTACGACGCCCACACGACGAAAACACATTCATCGCCTATGCTCCGTTGCTAAAGGTGTTCTACGACAAAATTGATATTTTTGTCATAATTTTTGCGACATTTGTACTTGTGTCATTGATTTATGATGCTCGATTATCGTCGTTGTCAAGCGAAGAAAACGTCACAAACTATTGACCATGGATGTCTACGCTGGTGCCATGTAGGATAACAAAACGTCGCTCATAACTAATGACTATCATCATATTTCATCATACATGAATAGTATCATTTAGCCATGCATCAACATGTTACATTCAGCAATCTCGATACATATAATCAGCATGAAAGTTGTTACATATCATTGTTGTTCATAACAATGGACTCAATGTTTCAATGTCATTATACAGTTACAAAACACAATGTTATTGAAACCATATAAACAAAGCACGGCTACTGATCAACATATCTACAATCTGTTCTCAAACTTAGAAATTCCCAAAGCCTCCTGCAAAAGACCATTTTTCATTAATTAGAGTAATCTTGTGAATAGGAAAAAATATTCAGAGGTAAAGAGAAAAGTAATTTCTAATAGACATTGAACTGAATTAACCATAACTCAAGATAGTGTCTGATAGCAACTACCAACTCAAGATAGAGCTATTCACTTAAATCATTTGGGTCATCTCATGTTGGCAAATTCCCTGAATGCCTAGTATGTTTGGCTGGGTTCACCAATACCATCTTTGTTGGCTACAATCACATAGTGTGCTCTATCTATTGCCTATAGATTGTTGACTACAAAAATAATTTAATATTGCACCTAGTAGGCACTTAAAATAGAGAAGACAAAACAACATGAACATCAACTAAGAGCAAAAATGAAGTGCATAGAGTAATCTTACATGTCACTTTCATCTTCCTTAAGCATAACAGGGTATGTCTGTTTTTTTATCAACAATGGCATAAAAAAAGGACTAACATCAAGGCAGGTGCTATCTCTGCATACCATGATATAACTTGAATGATGATAGTGCATACTAAGAGAATTGTACAATAAAAATCAGTTTTGTAACTTGGGTCTTGATTTGCAGTGTTGCACACAGTAAAAAAGGTGGAATTAGAAAGAAGCATACTCCTAATACACTAAAGCCTATATGCAGTGCTGTGTAAAACACTAAAACAGTCCATATAAAAAAGGTGAAATTAGAAAGAAGCATACTCCTAATACACTAAAGCCTATATGCAGTGCTGTGTAAAACACTAAAACAGTCCATATATGGTCGATTACCTGAAACAACATCAAGGCAGCAGTAGTGCAGAATATTTCGCTGAATCACATGTGAGAATTCAGTAATGCTACTTCATACAATGTTGCCTAACCTATGTGTAGGAGAATATAAGAGCTTCAGAAAATATAAACGCACTGTGGTTTACAGAGATGGGAGCTCAGCTGTCCAAGATTCACATGAATACCTCCTTGATACTATGGAATCTATTTTCAGAATCATCACCT